CCATGCCTATCTCGGGCCTCGCCCATGCTCTGCTACTAATGAGATATGGAAGACCGTCCATACTCTGCTATTGGTGAGATACGGGACTTCGCCCACACTCACCTTCCTACCAGGCACATACATGCATCACACAGACAACAAGTATACTCTATCATGTAACCCATTCCTTGGGCACCCGCCCGACATCGGACCTTGGTCCGGAATATCATACTAGCAAACAGTGCCTAGGGCTAACCCCCGAGTCTTCCTACTCATAGCTACATGGGCCGGCATTGTGGCCATAGACCCATTCACACAAAGGGAAACTCACCTGCACTGTTGAACTTGCTGATAACCCTCTTGCTGTTGACCGATAATTCTCTGAACCGCTGCTCCACTAGCTCCTCGAGCTACCAATATCAATACACATATCACTTAGTTCCAAACTAAACTCTAGGAGCCAAACTAAGTCAACTCCGATCAAATTCAATCTTTTTAGCTGACTCTACTCGTCGAGTCACTCCTTTGACTCATCGAGTACATGTACTCAGAACCCTCATAATGCGACCCAACTCGCCGAGTCACCCCAAGACTTGTCAAGTCCAACGATCTCTGAGCCCCATCCTGTCCAACTCATTGGGTCACCATTCAACTCATTGATATAAGCCTTAACTAGAAGGGGTTAGTGTTTCGCGACCTGACTCGCCGAGTCCAAGAACAGACTCGCCGAGTCCATGACAATCTTCAACAGACTCGCCGATTTGTTCTTCTAACTCGTTGAGTCCATGCCCACCTTCATGCAACTCGCCAAGTTCACCCATGTGACTCGAGAGTCGCTTTAGTTTTTAATCCATACAGTGGCTTTTCGAGCCATGCAGGGGCTCCAACTCATAGATCCACTCTCCCCAAGTCTATTCCTCACGTAAATCTGCAAACTTTACGTGAAACCAAAGAGATATGGGCTTAAAACACTCTAGGGCTAAGGTTTGTGACCAGGGGCTGCACCAACAACTTATTGGCATAAAATTTATGGTTTTCTGGATCCTTAATACCCAAGATCTGAGGTGGCAACCTCAGATCTACTCCAAACTCAAAATAAACCTCCTCCATACTCAAAATGCCCAAATCTCAACCATAAGATAAATCTAAATGCAATAAGGTTAGCTTATTACCTCAAAGGATCTGAAAAGCCACACCAACTATGTATCCAAGGCTTCCTTTTGCACCACTATGAACCTCCTTCTCTTCCAAGCTCCAAATCACTTCACCAAGGCTAGATCTTGCTCAAAATGGATATGGTGGCTAGGGTTCAGTATTCTGGGTAAGAGAGACTGCAAATGAGCCCTAGGGAAGAGAATAAGACGTTTAAATAGGGCACCAAGTCCCGAACTTAGGGTTTCCCAATCCAGACCGGACTTGCCAAGTCTACTTTCCGACTTGTCGAGTTGGTCACTTACTCTTCGACCCGGATCCCGCTCGAACTCGTCGAGTTCCAACCTGGAATCGACGAGTTGACCCCCCTTTGACTTAGGGTTTTCCTTTCCTTTCTTAGTCTTTCTGATTATGGGTGTTACACATAACCTTGACATGTAGCTTATTAGATCTCATCTTTTGTAGTTTTGGGCTTGGTTTTGGGACTTTGGCTTAGATGTTCAAAGAAAAGAGGTTTCCAGAGGTTGAGGGTGTAGATATGGCCTCTATAAAACCTCTAAAGGATTGAAGTTGCAAACTTTAATAGCCTCCATGTCCCATTCATGCAATATATCCATTATGAAGCCAAAAATGAACCTTAGAGGGTGTTTCTAGCATGCATGGACGTAACGTTGGAAACTTTACGTGATTAAACCACCTTAGGACCTCAGATCTGTAATATGGAATGTTGAAGCAAGGGTTAGAGGCTTAATGGGTTAAGACCCTCCTCAAAGGAGCTAGGGTTTGGGTCTAAAGCTTATTAGATGATCTTTAGGGGTAAAGTTGGAAACTTTACCCTTCTAGATGTCTCTATGGTTATGGATTTAAATTTTGGAACCTTTGGATTCGAGAAAAAGGGCTTAATGCATTAAGTGAGTTGAAAAACTGAAGAACTCAATGAGTTCACAAGGGAACTCGACGAGTTAGGTTGGAGTTACCTCGATTCTGTTGGAAAACGAAGGAACTCGACGAGTTGTAGGAGAACTCGACGAGTTGGATCATAACATTGCGATTCTGGCTTTGGGATGGACTCAACGAGTCAGGTCAACTCGGAGTGTTGACTTTGACTTTGACTTTGACCTTGACCAAGGTTGACTTTTAAAAGGTTTGAAGGGTTGATTTGTATCTAAGGAATTTTTTATGATTAGGGAGGTGGCAAAGCTAATACTCAGAGTTTGGACCTACTCAGCTACAGTTCGCATTTAAGGTGAGTCTGCTCACCATACCAATGGGTCGAAGGCACCAAGGCCACTCCATGTTATTTAGTTGGGATGTTTATTGCATACATGCTATAAGTATGATAAGTAGTATGTGAAGACCATGTGGGGGTTCCCATGGTAGTGGACTAAGACCATGCAGGGGTTCCCATGGCATTCGGTATAAGACCTTGGAGGGTTTCCATGGCAACCTAGTATGTTTGAGTGTTTAGCTTGTATGATATTTCCTTGGTTAGTTAAGACGATGTGGGGGTTCCCATGGCAATTAGTGAATACCATGTGTGGGTTCCGATGGTAGTGGGTGAAGACCATATAGGGGTTCCTATGACAGTAAGTTAAGACCATATGGGGGTTCCAGTGGCACCCGGTGTAAGACCTTGGAAGGTTTCCATGGCATCCCTATATGTTTATATGCATGGCTTATGTAGCTTATATGGCTGATATGGTTTTTGTGATAATGTGGGTTGTGTGGGGTATATTATGGGGAACCCACTAAGCGTTAGCTTACAGTTTGTTGGTTGTTTCAAGTACTTCAGGATCTAAGGGCAAAAGCTCGTCATGATGGCGCGACATGCACTCTGACGTTTTATTAAGGACAATATGATATTATGAATAAATTGTTTGATGTTAGGGATTTTGAAAACAAATGTGATCGGAATTTTATATTTTATGGAAACGATTTCGTTACTTAAAAATGAAAATATTTATTGGAAATTTGGATTGTTACACCCACCCCTCAAATTTCGCTTCCTCCTAAACGATATCCTTATTGCCGCCTTCTACATTAATTGTGTCTCCCTCCTCGACCTCTTTTCCACCATGTCTGGCGCTACACCACCACCACCACCACACAAAGTCTATCGCACTACAAACATCAAAACTTATGTCCCTCTCCTTGATTTTGAGCAAATCAATTAAGATGCATGGAGTGAACTTTTCTCCAGCCATTGTAAAGCCTTCGATGTTATTGAACACAATGACATTTCCATGTCGAAACCTACGGATTCCAAATGACAAAAGGTGGACAAAATAGTGAACTATGGATATACGCCACCATATTTCAACCTCTTCTTCAAACTATATTCCTACACCACTTATCTCTCATGAAAAAAGTGTAATTTCCAACACTAATATGTCTCTTAAAAGGGGTTATTTAAAGGTATACCCCAATCTTTAAAATCAAAATTAATTTCAAAGATTGAAATTTGGTTCGAGTAAATGAGGTTTAGTAAAAGCTTTATCATCTATATAAGAAACTTTATGAATAACTTTGATGTATGAAAACCAAAAGCATTTTGATCACTTTTTACCGTATACTACCACTTAGTAAGGGGAGCTAAGTATCTAAGACCTCCAATACCAAGACAACCATTATGTTTAAATCGACTAATAGTATTCCAATCCACTTAATGAATCTTTTTATTGTTTTCATTATAAACAAAAATTGTTCCGAGCAATCCTTTATAATCATATTGTAATGCTATAAAAAACATAACCAAACGTTACTCTTCCAGCCGAGCAATGTACGCTCTAAAAGCTTTCAACTCTACAAATCATATGAGAGTCAACTGGTGTAATAAATCAGACATATTTTATTTGAGGGCTCAAATAGGAGTCTCCAACTAGTAATGTTTAGCAAAGTTAAACTGAGTCTACAACCTATCCAAATGATCCCACATTTCTATCGTCATATATCACATTTCGTTGATTGGGTGCCAACTGACTGAACTGCATAATTTATTTATTTTTTTCCAAATGAGAATATTATAATTATCAGTTTCTCATGCATCTAGTAACATTGTACAATTAACAGTTTTTTCATGTGTTGTTTCACCTAATACACTAATAAAAATACTTCATATATGTTTCCTACATATAATTTTTTTCATTACATAGTTCCAGTAAACATAATTCTTATCATCAAACTGGGTACTAATAGATCGTAGATAATGATCTTTTGGAGCCATAAACATACAAAATGATGCTAACAACAAATACAAACGATAATGAAATACTAACAAAATCGGAAAACATACCCAACAAATACGATAATGAAACCAAAAAATATGACGAACAATATTGTTTCCATTGAATCTTTTTTCAGAACTTTAAATGAGACAAAGTAATTTAGAACTTAATTTTTATCTTTCCAACTCGATAATTTAGAACTAATTTTTTCCACAATCTTTTGGGTGGAATTTGTTGGATGCCTTTGCAATATAGCAACTAAAATCAACATTCATCTAGAAGTTTAACACTTTATTCGACGTCTTCATCACGATGACAAAGATATAAGCGACTATCACGTGCATGCAAGAAAAGCTATATTGATATTATCCTTGAAACTTTTTCAAGTTGGTACAAAACATCAATTCATCAAAGAACATAAAAAGCGTTTTGATTGTTTTTTTAAGCCATGTTTTCGTGCGTGAAAATAAGTAAATGCCTAAACCGTTGGTTACTTAAAAGACAATTCTTCTTTAGTGGAATACTCGTAAGTCGTAACCTTTTGTCTTTTGACATATCGGAGTCATGACTCTAAATGAACATTGAACACGGAGTTAAACGATCAATCATTGCTCTCAGTTTTTCAATACTTGTAAAAGATGATACTTCTACATTAAAACGAAAAAAAAAAAAAAAAATGTCTTCTAAATTTTTTGACAAGGAACGATAGATTTATTTATCTAAGTTTATTTTTTTTAAAAGATGAAATTTTGAAGAAATTGGTTTAGTGTTATTTCTGTTTGTGTATTTCGTTATTGTTTGTGTGTAACTGTGTATGATGAGTTAGTTGACTCCATAGACCCACTTTTCTTGGTTGCTAGTGTAATTAGTCAACTCCTCAGGTTTAAACCAAAGGTTAATTTCGTCCTTTGCAGTCTCTGGTCCATCGCTTCCGTGGATAATGTTCCTACCAAAAATATCATTTGTGTTTAAAAAAACTATAAATTAAAAGTAACATCTGAAACCAAAGTAAGTAGCAACAAACAGTACCTTCCAACAACAATGGCCAAATCACCTCTGATAGTTCCAGGCTCTGATTTGGATGGATCCGTGGCTCCAATAAGCTTCCTTCCATATCTAATCACACCTTCTCCTTCCCAAACCTGCATATATATAAATCAACAACAATGACGTAACTAAAATTCCTTGTTTCCTCATCGCAAAACAATAACTAATCTAAGTTACTTCTAACCATTGCAAGAACAGGGCCAGAGCTGAGGAAGTTGCACAAGCCATTGAAGAATGGACGATCCTTAAGATCATGATAATGCTTCCCAGCAAACGCCTTTGAAGGTACCACAAGTTTAATAGCTACAAGTTTGAAGCCCTTACGTTCAAATCTGGCTATAATCTCCGAAATCTGGAAAAGAATTAGAGATCAAATAATCGGGGAATTGACAGGTATGAGGGATTTGAGGGTTAAGTTAGTAAATTACCAGTCCTCTTTGTACACCATCAGGCTTGATCGCAATGAAGGTTCGCTCCATCTGTGGAAAGAGAAGTAAGCGTTTGTTAAGATGAAATCACAGAAAATGATAGTGGCATTTAATCGAATACCTGTGCTGCATGTGCCTCTTGGTCCTGAAGCATGTATGCTGAAATGAAATTACACATATCAATAATCTCTACAAGGAAGAGAATAAGATCATAAGAAATTAAGAATCATGGAATCTGAAAGTTAGTTTGAACCTGCAGCAGGAAGTGCGAGAGCTCCGGCAATCCATTTGTTGGAAGTGTTTGTGGAATCGGTGAAAGAAGCTAGAGCTGGAAGTGTTCCTTTGAAGGAAACTGCTGCTGCTGTTGCAGCTGTTCGTCCTTGTGTAAAAAAAAAAAAAAAGAGTCGGAGTAAATTTCATATTAACAAAAAATCTACGTCACTTATGAAGCTCATTCATGAAACAGATTAACATAATAATGGTGATATTGAGATCTAAACAAGCAAGCACAATGTAGATATTACTTATCGACACAATTTGGTTCCAATGCTACTGTAATTTACAGAGCGCAAGAGATGATATTAAGATCTGATGTTGTAAGTCTATCATACGCTTATGGTAATTCATCGTCGTTAAAATTTCCATCAACCAGATGACCAGATCCACACTTATAGAATGTACAATATAGAACGCACATAATTCGTATTATCCAACTCAAATATAAATGACACAACAGAATTTTACATGCTAATGGTTATATCAAAATTCAAACGGCAAACATGATATAGAAAAAACACGCAACCACAATCTAAATATCATCAATCTTCGTAATCTGGTTTCCTGATAGTGTAATTTCCAGAATGTAATTAACATGGTAGAAGAAATAATACTACGATCGCACATTTTTCAGTCATCTACAGCATGTCATCTTATGAAATCACGGAATCATAGTTAAAGTTGTCATAAACATTCGATAATTCACAACCTACAAGCCGAACCTCAATGCAACACAAATGGAATTATAACGGCGTACAAAAAAACTCACCGGAAACAGCACGATGTTTGTGCTTGGAAGCCGAAGAGAGAAAAGACCTAGCAGCTCGTGATGCAGATCTGTAGATTTGAGAACTCATTCTCCTTCTCGATCGATCAACCAGTCAATCAAAATCGAAGCAATCAAAATAGAATAAAAAGTGAAGTGGAGATTGAGAAGCTCTCTTTCGGAGATATATATTTATGGAGCGGAATGGAGTGAGAACAGAGGAAGGTTTGGCAAGTTGATTGGGTTTAGTTATGGAGAGAAGTATATTTATCATGAGGTTGAAATTTTAAAAAAGTTAGAAGAGAACCCATGAAGTTTTCATCGGTTGACAGTTATATCCACTAACTTCTAAATCATTACACTTAGAGTTGGAGAAATCTTTTGTTAAAATCAAAGTCCCTAGAGTGTTTGGATGTTTGTTTTTAAAGTGATTTTTTTTCATAAATAAAATGGTTAGATATTAATATATTTATCTCCAATAAGAAGTTTTGTTATAATAACTTTTTATTTAGTCAATATTTTATTATCTTAATTTTATAAACTCTATAAAAATTATAATCAAAATTTTCAAACACACTGATAAAATATAAGATGTGATAATATTAGCACAACCTAAAATGGGAACACTATTATTTTAAATTAATAGGCCAAATACAAGAACAATAATTACAACAAGAAACTATAAACTATTTTTAACTGATTTTTTTAATCATCTAAACAAGATTAACTCAACATTACCACTCATATATCGATAGAGACATGAATGCAAATATTCTAACATGCTCTATTTTTTTACTTATAGCATTTTGTTTTCATTTTTCTATTACAACATTATATATGTAATAATTTTCTTATTATTTCGAATTTTGAAATTTTATTCAATTATAGTACAGCTAAATGATTATCCCATTTATATATTTCACTGACATGACATCAAATCATGGTTACATGATTTATTTTTCCATGTCATTCCATTATTGACTTATCCAGTGTGGAAATTTGTCCGAGGAAGAACTTTTACATAAAAGGAATTTAAGTGTGACAATGTTATATTAAAAAAAAAAAAATGTTTATGTTACACACCAACAAGATATTCTGAATATTCAACGAGAACAAGAAAGATACGTGGCAAAAAAACACGATAACATATATGATTTCATCATATCTCATATTAACAAGTTATACACTAGAGAAGAACCGTTTGTTCTCTTGACCATGTTGTCAACCCATTTCATCTAAAAGATACTGAATAACTTTCATTACATAAAATATGGACGTCAAACTAAAAAACCTTTTACCTTTGGGGTGTTATTATTCATGCTATGAAAACCAAGGGTTTTCTTGTCATGTAGTAAACCACATGTGTTTCTATATAATTTTCTCTAATTATATATTGTTGAAGTGTCGAACGTCAAAATTCTAACTTTGACTACTAATTTTAGAATGTTTGTGATTTGCTTTGGTTAGATCAACCAGATCCGAAGTAGTGGGTCAAAAAGTAAACTCGGAATGTATATCGGCCATCAAAGAAACTCCCCTGGCCTCGTAAACTTACAAATCATTTTTTTTTTTTTTGGTTATTTGATTATTTATGGAATTTTATTTGTAACTTCTAGTCTTCTACATGTTATTAAACTTTAATAAAACTCTATAGGCTGTCACATTACCTTAAAATTATTATTTATTTCTATAAATATACATCAATTATAAATAGATAACTACTGTATATTAATTGGATAACATCTTACAAATTATAAACTATAAACGCATAATTTGCTAGCTAAAATCGTAAAATTAAAGAAATTTAACCAAGAGGATACATTTTGTATGTACAAATAGACAAACACAACGTACCACAGTCAATCCAACAACCACCAACTATGTACACCTGACCCTTACATCGACACTTGTCAATGTCACGAATCCAGTGAATCATCAACAGTGGTTGACTCCGATCCCAATTTGCATTCATCTTGCAATGTCGTCAACCAAGCATCCACCTTAAATAAAATAAAATAAAAACACTTTTGAGTCTCCATTTTTTACCCTACAAACTTTACAGGGCTATTTTCGTCTTTTGAGACGAGCAAATCCGTCTATCACCTTTTTGTGTGGGACATAAATTGCAATTTTTGTCTCATAAAGTATCGTCAGACCAATGCAAGCCAAACACAGTACAAGACAGTATTATACCTGTAATTTTGAAGTGCTTGAGCATTCATATCTCAATCCTTGGCGGGTAACTATATAAAAATAATACCGAGTTTTTTCTCCCTCTTCTTCAGGATGACGTGGCATCCTCCCTACTTCCACAACATCAGACAAAAGGGTGGAGTCTTGAGGACTTATGTCTGCAACATTGTAAAAATCTACCAATGTCATCCAAAAACAAAGAATACGTATGTTTTTAATGATTACATTAAAAAATATGTAATGTAATTTACTAATTTATAATTAAATTGTTATTACCTGTAGACATGAAATACAAGAAGATGCATGGTCCTAGAAGAACAACAAAACGTGGAAGCCAATCATCAACTTCTGTATCATCAAGAGGAAGTGGTTCTCCAGGTAAAGCTGTCCATCTCTGTAAAATGTTAGTAATCGAATATCAAGCAGAGTGTAAATACGAAATAAAGAGTTTATATAGAAAATGTATAAAATGAGTTTATAAAAAATTACAGTTCGCATTTGTAGATAGCCTGAGAGACGAGCAGAACGCAAAGTTTCATCAATATGTTCCAACCGAGCTTTCAGATGAGCTTCTTTTTCCTCCATGTCAGCAAGTTCTGATCGAAGTGATTCAACTTCTGGAGCAGATAATATAACCTGTCGAATAGTTTTTCGAGCAAATTTGGATCAAAATGGTGAATTGGGTTGAAAAAAGATGTATTGTATTGTATTATATTATATTATATTAATATTATTCACCTTTTGCTTATCATTTGTGTCTGTTCCCCAAGTTAGTCTGCGTAGATTGAAAAGATTCAACATGGAAGAAGCAGTTCTTAATCTTCTTTTAGCCCACAATCTGCTGTTTGAGCTATGCTAATACAGATCAAAGCAACTGTAAATAAAATCAACTTAAAAGAAGAGGATGTATGTATAAGATTGCTTGATTTATGTCAGAAATACCTCAATATTGATTTTTGAATGTGAAATTGAAGAACTTGTCGTTTGCGGGGTTTCTACACTCGAAGTTGAATGCGGGAAGTGATCTGGAAAAACGTCTACTCCTCTAGGACCATCACCCATGAAGCTTGCTTCCACTCAGGTGTAAAACTAGGGTTTGAATAATATAAGATTGTTAAAGTTCAGCATTCGGATTAAAAACTTGTTTGATTTAAAGATGAATACGATCGTTCTTCTTCTACTTCTTCCCCTCGAGCTTGTGCTATCATTGCAAATTCAATTGGTGATGCCACGAATTATACTAGCAAGTACTTACAATCAAATAGAAACCAATTGTTTCTTTACCTCGTAGTTCATCATCAACTATTTAAATCAAGCAGCGAGAGAAAGGGGGAAAAGCAATATTAAGATGTTCAACTTCAAAATTAACACGATTATCTCCATTATAAATACATATCGATACATACACATACTCAAATTCGAAAGAAACCATACAAATACGCGAAATCAACAAAGAATCGAAGTATATGATGGATACAGAACTTAACAACAGTATACTAAACACATATGGATTACAAACAACTTACAGTAGAAGGCTGGAGATCCTGATAATGCAGATTGAAGAAGCGATTTCTGGAGAAGTAGATGGAGAGAGAGGGAGAGAAAGTAGAGAGAGAGATGATGATGATTAGGATTATGATTACTTTACTTAATGAGGCTGTTTTATCTTCTATCAGGTAATAAAAGATTGCACCTCACGGTACTTATACTGTTTGTTGGCGAAGTTGCAATTTGCCCCCCACGATTCAAAAAATACCTTCACGTTTTGACATCAAACTATTGACTTTTGCTCTAAAAACGACAATATTTGAAAGTGTAAGGGGGTGTTTGTGTGAGTTATAAACACATTATATTGATAGGATATTTACAAAAATTAGTTAATTATCACATGATTTTTTTGAGAAAAACTATGATATCATTTCAATATAACAAAACCATGTGATAATTAACTAATTTTTGTAAATATCCTTTCAATTTATGTTTGAAAGTGTAAGTGGTTCAATTTATGTTTTAAGGGTTTTGATTTAGTTTTTTTTTTAAATCTTTTCACCTACTATATCTTTTTTTTTTTTTTTTAATATTTTGAATTTTGATTCTTTATTATATTTGATAAGTGTTTGTAGAAATGTCTAGAAGAAGATCTGATCATTTGGTATGTATTCTATAGAAATATTAAAGTTTGTTTTATTAATTCTCATATAAAAGCAATCTCATATAATAATATTCTTATATAGTTCGATTTCATGATAGTTATTCTAATAGAACGTTTGATTCCATGTCAATTATTCTCACATAATGCATAAATGAAATATGATGATCGAAGGTCTGAAGGTTGGATGATGGTGTGAGATGGAGATGAACAATGATCATCGACATTCACAAAAAAATCACTATATATCATATATTATGACATAATAATCTACAATAGAATTATACAATTATATATAATAGTATATATTCTGATAAAACATTGAAGTATAATAATCTAAAAATTGTGTTTTTTAACCATATATTCTTGAATAATATTAATAATAAATGATTATTCTATAAGAATGTTATTATTTTTTAATTCATGGTTTAAAATTTTGTTATTCTTCCATAGGTTCATTATATCAAAATATGTATTCTGTCATTGATAGAATATGCATTCTGTCATAATTTGTGCGTTGTCAGAAAATATATTCTTACAGAATGTTCGAATTTAGAGAACTAATATCCTTTAAAGTCACATTTTAAAAATTAAGGTAATTAATTATTCTTTAAAATCTGAAAATTTTCTTTATTAAATAAAGTTTAATTAGTTGAAATACTTTAAGCCACCATTTCCTTTAATTAGAATGTTTTTTTAATCTAAGTATATAATAATAGTTATTATATCACAATAAAAGGCCTATCTAATTCTATATATGTGAAACATATAACTTTTTGTTATAGATTTGTCACTAAACATTTAAGATACACGATGGCTTCACACATATTGATACAAAGACGACATAGGGTGTACCACCGCTATATCTTAATAACATTTCTTCCAATTCATGCTTCTGTATCTCTTATCATAATTTTGTGTTTATTTTTAATAAAGATTTACCTTTTGAGTGACACAAAAATTGCAATTATTTTTGTATCATTGACAATTTGATATTAATTTCGGTATCAATCCAATGACCAAAGTCAGTCATTACTTTTCCAAGACAATTCAAGTTGCAAATATGTAAAAACCAAACCAAATTGAAAAGGTTAAAAGTATTCCCCAAACCTCTGAAATTGGGAATTTAAGCAACAAAAGCCCAATTCTTTGTTTACATTGAAGGGCAAAATACCATGATAAAGAACATAAAAACATACCTAATATATATATAAAATGGAGAATTCATATTCAACCATACGTTTATGGACAAAACGTGAAAATGGTTTAGATTTCTCATAACATACAGCAATCTTTCATAGAAGAACTTGAAATGAAAACATGACTCTTCTCTCTTCTTGAAGCTTGATCATCAGCTTCATAAACACCCTCCCAACTGCCAAAACCACAACCCAGAAAATTTGATTAGGAAAAAGGAGACTGAAAACCAAAACAATCAACAAATGATGTTTAATTTAATGATGCAAGATAATGTATAAGCAATATAAAAAAGTTGCATAATGTATTATACCATAATAGCATCAATCTCTTCTTGAGACATTGGTGTTCTTTTGGGTTGAAGAGATGCTTTCCCCCCTAGAGTTTTTTCAGAAGGAGCAGACTTTGAGAAAAAGCTTGAAGGGACATCATTGGCAACAGGTGTTGCTTGGGTTTGAGTAGCAGAACCTAAAATATGATGTAAGTAGATTAGATATAAACCATAACGATTCATTTTGATATTTAGATGAACAATTATTGCGCAATACTGTTTGTATATCCGGTAATACCATCGAATCTATAACCTAATCTGTAAAATTAATCAAACTAGGTCAAAAAATCAATCTATAATGATGTTCTTCATGGTGATTCTTCCTAGATCGGAATTAAGAAACTTCCTGTATATCCAATTCAAATTCTCATATGCCGAAACGCAAATTAACGAAAAATGACCTGGCCAGACATTCATACAAACGAATTAAACATTACAGAAATTAAGAAGAGACAAACCAGAAGGCGCCGGATGACGCTGAGGAAACTTGATCCGGGGGATTCTCTTCATCGCTTGTGCTGCTCCCATATCTCGATCGATCGGTGGTGGCGTTGACGGCGGCGGCGAATATGGCGAGGGAACTTTCTGCGGTTGCGACTTCGGAGGAAGCTTTCGTTGCTTATAGAATAATGAGAAAAAGTGATGGAATTTTGTGATTATTGCCATTTTTTATTACAAAAGAAATAGAAAAAGGTAATTATGAGTTTGTATCTATTTATTTGGGTGAATTTTTTTTACATGAATGGTTTCTAAATTATTAAAAATTTGATGATTTTGGGGTTGTGAGAATACATATTTAACCGATTATTGTGATTTACAATTTACAATGTTAAATTGATTTAAATATGTGTTTAATATAATTTATTATGTTTTATTTTAATTAGATTTGGTGGACATGTAAAAAAGAATTTTGTATGAAGTTTCTTAGGATAAGTGTAAAAATATCAAATGATTTTTAGTTGTACTATTTTTTTATGATTTTTTGATCGTCTTCACAATAATTTTCAAAGTATACGTGAGTTTCATGATAAGTTGAAAGTAGAAAAATAAGAGTTGCCATGCTTGAAATTTCTCTGTCTTGATTGTTTTATTTTTGAAGATAAAATAATCAGATCCTAAGTAAAAGGAATTTGATTTTTATCTATAACCTTAACTGTCACAAACTTGAATGAAAAATGTTTTGATTATCCGATTTTAAATAGATAAAAAGACAAGTTTATATAAATTTAATAAATTTGTTCTAAGATTAAGACTAATATTAAACAAAGGAAACAAAAAGCCTTTAATTTCAATCCCTTCCTTCTAAATGGCCATATAGCTGCAAAAAAATCTAAAAGTGGAGGAAGATAAGTACAATGTCTTAATAGAAGTATTATTTTTTAAGTTTATATTATATTTTTCACAGCTCACTGGAGGAAAATGAGTATAATAACCTTAAAGTAAGTATTTATTTTATTTTATTCGTATATTCTCTCATAGATTTATAGCTTGTACAAAAAGAAATGATATTTGTTTCTAATATTTTTGTTGATCTTCCTAAAAGATAATATTTTGATAGAAAAACCTGCTAAAATATCATAAAAAGATTGTTTCATTATTAATTTTGCCTTTATCGTAGATCTAAGATGGTTTTTTCGTAGATCTAACATTTAAAATAAAACTAATATGGAAACAAAGATTATTATTTAGAAAAACATTATATTTTTGTCAGAAAATATAATATTTCTACGAAATACTATATTTTCTTACAAAAATATGATTTCTTTTTTTTAAAGAATGCATGTGAAAATATCAGAAAAAATCGTTTTTTAAGTAAATGTTAAATTTATGCAAAAGTATAAGAATAAACTGAAAAAAAAAAAAACTTACTTCCATCATGTCATTGTACTCCTCTTCTTCCATTTTTAGAGCCTTTTTTTTTTTTTTTTTTTTGTTGCAATGCAGAAATAAAAGATGAAAATTGTGGAGAAATTTCTCACAGGTTTAAATAGGTGGACTACTTCGGTCCATTTTGCAACTATATAGGCCCATTTGCGTGAAGGGTTTTTGTCTAAAATTTGAAACAAGTTTACGAGTTAATTTTTTTTTTCTTTTAAATATCGTAATAACTATTTTATGAATAACTATAAAAATTGGCTATAGGTGATTTTATATCACTAATGTTATTTAAGTATAATGTAGTTAATTTGTTGATCAATATCACTTTGATAATTATTAAACAAATCGGTATGGTGCGGAGTGCACATTGTTTAACTTTTGTCTTTGTTGAAAGTATACTGCTATTTATGGGTGAAGCCCCTGAACCAACGGGGTCCGGGAGCAGTTTTAAGACATAAAACTGTCATGTGACAGTTTTAAGACGGAAAGTTTTTCTGTTATACGATCATATCCGAAATTTGTTGTTGGTACACTTCTTCATAACATCTTAAACATTATCTCTTCTGTTTTTTTTTTCAATTCTGAGTCTTATCCGATTAAAGATTGGAAGTACCACTCAAATACTTTAATCTAAAAGCGTTATACACGATTCTCAGATTTCCAAGTGCCATTAAACCCATAATTCTAACATATATCCTATAAAAAGACAAAGCATGCTCTTTGGACATCATAGTGATTGGTGAACATTCTTAGGACCTATGTTGGATAAATCACGAAGCACTAACAATATTTTGAGTATGTAAGTTTTAAGATTAGAACTTTTATTTATGGAATTTCGAACATAGCCACTTGACTCTCATAAGAGGAGATCTATATCCCATAAATAGCTATAAGCCTATAACAATTTGCAAAACACACGATAATAAATGATTCATAGATTTAAGTGAGGAATCTCAAACTAGACAAAAAGAACTGAAACAATATCCATCCCTCTCCAGTTTTACTCTTGTAGGCATCCAATTCAAGTGTAATTGTGAAACTAAAATATGAAACCTGGTATGGACGACTATAATGGTTACAATATAAAGATGAGGATCCGATTCGTAATTTTCGCATACACAAATGGAATATTTGTGTACATTTTAGCAAAAAATTGAAGTTGTTATTTATATTGAAATTAAGATGTTACATAAATCTTTATAAGAAATAACTAATAATAAAACCAAAGTACTACTATAAAATTACATTTACAGATGAATGGATATCCGTTTTTAATTAGGAATCTCATATTTTTAACCAAGAGTTAGGGTGGCTACTCTGTAGCTTTGTAAAGTTTAGGTTGTATTTAGACAACATTAGAACTTGAGGATATTTGTTCAATTGTTTGTTCTATAATTCGGTGATTTATTAAATATTTAATGCATTAAACAACAGGGGATGTAGAGGACTTTCAACGGCCCTAAAAGTGATTTATTTATTTATTTTTTTCATTTTAAATGAAATTATCACTTCCCTTAAAATTATCAAACAAATTTTGACCAATTTAGATCCGATTTCTTTTAAAACTTTTCTCTCTCGTCTTAATAATATCAATAGCTATAACCCACCTTATGTTTAGAAATCTTTGATCTTTGCATATCTTCGTATAAGTATTTAGTTCTCGAATTCTTTCTTCCTTGCTTGCTCTATTATAATTATCATGTTTTAGTTAAAGATCGTTTGAAAAGGTCAGTCAATTAAATGGTAATCCAATTCACACTTCCAAATATTTACTTTTATGCAGTTGTCCCCATCAATTTGACTGCAAGACAACACTATTTGGACTCATCCACAGCTATTTTCTTCACAATTGTTACTTATTTCTTCCTTTCCATTTATGACCTTTTCAACTATCATTAAATAACTTAGACTTATATTCCTTATTTCTTGGTGACAAATGGCTATAAAATCTCAATCTAAAAAAATCAATATCAACAGTAACACTAGAGAGAAAACCCATAGACCAATAAACATATAACCTCTCTCTCAGTGCAAGTGGTTGAGGATTCATTTATCGTCTGTAATAATTATATAATTTAAAAGTATTTTACAGAATGCTTGTGTTGCTATTTAAAATTTTTTTTTAATGAAAACCGTTTACAAATCGGTTTTCTTACATCAATTTTTATGGATTAAAGTATCAAAAATCACTTAATCAAGTGTAAAGTTAAAATAGTTAGATAACATTACAATTATATTAATAATCGGTTTTCTTACACCAATTTTTACCAACTTCTTCGAATCTAATTATTTGAACCTAAATAATCGTAAAATCATAATTATAATCACTTTTATCCGAACAATTAAGTTCTAAGAAAGGTAAAAATATAATGATTGTCCAATTAGACCCGTTGAAACTAGAAAAACTCACATCAAATAGATAAGTAGAATATCCACAAAAAGTATCAAACAAAGAGCAAATATAAGCTACAACACAAAAAACAATACTATAGATCTAGTTTAGGAAAAATATGCTAAAAGATCAAGAAAGAAAAACACATTTTCCTTTGAGAGACACACCATTCCAAATGAAACCACATAATTACAAATCTGGGCATGACCCCATCTCATAGAGAAACCCATGATCTTGAAAAAGATAGAGAAGAAGAGGGTAAAATTGTAACTTTTCCAAGAATCACATCATGATCTATTCATCTCATGATGAACTTCAGGAGTTTCCATGATACTCTCTAAAGAAGGTTTCCATCCCGCAACACTTTTCCCTTCGAGTCTACTCTTCCCAATTGCCCCCAACACATCTTCCAATCTTTGTCCTTCTTTGTTCTTGAGTTGTAATAACAACCACTCTAGCTCATCTTTTGTTAATACCAACTTTACCCTTACTCTACCACTTTCCATTCCATAACTACCCCTTGGTTTCCAAGATTCTTGTGGCTTTTCGTCTTCTCTTTGCTCCTTCTGTAAACACGTCTCCATGTAATTCCCCATTACCACAATCAAGAAACTTGTTAATTTTCTGAAACTGTAACACAAATATGTTTCCAAGAAAGTGTGTGTGTGTGTTTGTTAACTGAAAAACTATTTTTTATTTATGATGATCGAAGAGATTTGGAGAGAAAATTGAGGAGTTGTTAGAGAGTGTCAACTAATGCATGTGAGGTGTGGGGAACGTATATTGGTATATGTAGGTGACAAATTTATTGTTGTTTTGAATTAGAACAATGGCCCACTAAAGCAGACATCATTTTAATTTTTTAATACCCTATTGATCATGAATAATTGTGGTTATTATTATAGAAGTTTAAACACATGGTGTGTTTTGATTTGTTACAAAATTGATTAATTTGTGATTTTGATTCTTTTACTAGTTTAATGTTTAACTTTAAAGTAAACGATATTTTTTAGAGTAAAACTTTGGTAAAAATAAGCCGGTTTGTAAACTAGTTTATTATAGTTTGTTATTTGGTAAAATTACAATAATAATAGTTTATTGTAGCTTATAAAATAAATTATTTTGAAATAATTTTTGATAAGCTTATTAATTTTTTTCAAAAATATTCTAAATGTTTTATTAAGGTAATATTCTAAATATTTTATTAATTATATCTATTGTTAGTTTTTAGTTATATAAATCTAAATGTCATTTATGTCATGTTATATTTGCAATCTATAGTTTATCGGCTATTTTTTTTTTATAAAATATTATTAATTAATAAGCTAGCTTATCACCTATCATTTAGTTTTTAAAACTAAAAGCTACATAAACCTTTTTTTTTTTCTAGCATGTCTAATT